TTACCGATAACTACGACAAGGATCTGTTATCAGATTATATCGATAACTACGGCCGGGATCTGTTATCAGATTTTACCGATAATTACGGTAAGAATATGTTATCGTATTTGACGAATACTTACGGTAAGGATCTGTTATCGGATAATACCGATAATTACGGTAAGAATATGTTATCGGATTATACCGTTAATTAACGGTAAGGATCTGTTATCGGATAATACCGATAATTACGGTAAGGATATGTTATCGGATTTTATCGATAATTACGGTAATGCTCTGTTGTCGGATTATACCGAAAAGTGCGGTGAAGATCTGTGATTAAAGTATACCAATAATTACGGTAAGGATCTGTTATCGGAGTATACCGATAATTACGGTAAGGTTATGTGATTTCTTCTGTTTATATATCGACTTTAAAAGAAAACGTTTGTTCTCTTTCATCGGCAACAAAATAATTTTGCTTGAATGTGTTAAACTGTTTGGTAGCGGTCTACGATATTTCAATTTAAAATAGGCCCGATGCAGGCGAGAAACGAGGACTTGTTTGTCAATTACACAAAAACAAACACAGACAATAACATTTTATAATATTTAATTAATTAAATAACATTCTGTTTTCATTTGAATAAATATTAAAATACAACAAGTCTTCTGGCTATGTCTGCTTCGTACCAAAGCCTTCGGGTGTCTGGAACATTTGATGACAAATCTTCCGTGTGACATCGCGCTGTGAACGGAGATCGGTACTCATCCAAATGTAAGATACACTTGATCCACAGTCGCTGACAAAGTTACTGTCTTTTAGAAGCATACGTCACATCTATATTTTTCAAGGAATTATTCCTTTACGTCTTCGTCAAGTTCCACCAGCAAATTTGTTTCCATATCATATTGTTCCAACAATGAGAACTACAAAACGCATGTTGTATGTTATGAAATAAATGTCCAGAAGATGAGATAGTGGAAACTAGAGTTATTTTGTAGTTATTATAATGAGGCAATATTCTGTTCTCTTTTCATCTTTACAGTGAGGAGAAGTAATTCACGTATGGAGCATCCATGTTGAAAGTGAAATAAGGGAAATTACTGTGAAATTGAATATTTTATGTCAAACTTGTAACAACTTCGTGGACCTATGAATTCGTGGATGAAGATTACTCACGAAATCAACAAAATATAAAAACCCAGTGATTTCACTGTAGGTTACATCGTGAGAGGGACAATTTGGAGCATCGTTGGTTAATTACATTCAATATGTTGTGTTTTTAAATGAAGGGATGCAGAGGAGTGGGGCTCGATATGGAAAACAAGACACAATGCTGATCTGAAATCCTAGATGTCTGATCTGGCCTCTGAATAAACGGAATATTTTCTTCTTCTTCACAATGTCAGTCAAGCAGGTTTTCTATTTTTAATTCAAATGTAACTTTTGTGTTCCAAACCTGTTCATAACTTCTTCTAGACCAATGGTAAGCAATCTGAATAGTGTAAAAGTGGAAAAATATATGGCGGTATGAAAAATGCACCGGTCTTTCGTCTCGAGTAAATATTAACGTGAAAATATATAGATTACAGATGTTTAGAGATTTCAAAACCATTGTCGGCACAAAATGTACAGTAATAATCTTATGGTCCGGACAGGTGCTATTATATTGTTCTGTTGATTGAATTTCTGCGTCGGAACAAAATTCTTTCCTCCATTAGTATTGTGAGATTTTTCTTGTCGCAATTTCCGCGTCGGACTTTTGAAGAGTTTGGTTTCCACATTGGCGTCCCAACCATAGCCGGTTTTTTCCTTATTCAATTGTTTGAAAATACGTTTACGAGCATCTCAGACAACCAATTAATGTATGGATATATATAATATAATTGACCTAAACATTAATTGCCCTTGATGACTTTGTTTCTTTCTCCAAGCTTATCGTGTTTCACGAGAGTGAAGCGAACACATTATATTACAGGTCGAACACGACCCTAGACCTCTTCCTCGTTCAAAAGCAGTCCGTTACATTTCATCCCTTGCGCTTTAACGGCGGTCAAGTTGATTCATTTTAGCATGCTCCTGACCAAATATCATCATCCTTTACCTCTTGGTTATTTTGTTATGAGCCCAAATGACCTTTTAAAGGGGTTAAGGTCATTTATTTGAATATAGCTTATATAGCCCTTCATCCAAGTATGCTGCTGGCCAAATATCATGACCCAAGGTCGCAAGGTAATTGATAATTAGTTGTTCAAATATCTTAACTGATCTCTTAATTTCTACCACCATGCTACAGACCAAATACCAACCTATATATCTCTTGGTACTTTTGTAGATGTAATTTTAAGGTTTTACACATTCTATTACTATGATCCTCTTGACATTTAAAATGGGCCAATGTCATTTATATGAACAAATTTGATGGCCCTTAATCCCAGCATACTACTGGTCAAATATCATCAGCATAAAAAGTATATGCCTATTTGTTATTCAGAGCATATTGCTAGGTTTTGACAGATCTGACCCCTGTGACTTTAAAAGGGGATCAAGGTCATTTATTTGAACACACCTGATATCCATGCATGTTACTGGCCAAATATCATGATGATATGCTTTAAGTTTATAAAAAAGAAGTTGTTTAAACAAAAAAAATGATGCCTGTTGATGGAGGGGGTGTCAGAGGGATGACAGACTTGAGCTCATTTTGCGGTTTTTGGTCAGGAAAACTAAAAACAAAAACAAATATGAATTTTGATATATTTATTAAGTTTCAGGCCACAATTCATATCAAACATACATCTTTTCACAAAACAATATAACAAGAGTCGTACTCTCCACACATCACCAGACAATGTAACCACTGGCAGCATGACTGTAACAATGTCACTAAAGGGGGATAATCAGGTAGTTTCCCATTATATGACATCAGGATACCTCTAGAACAATATAATGCAAATCAAATCTATCGTTCCATTCCTCAATGATATTCTACTGGGGAAATGGTAGAATGAGAGGACACTGCAACAGGATATTAACTCCTGTATGCTTACTGTATATCTGGAACCTTATGTGGGACAAATGTTCCTTCTTTACCAATAATTCACCCAGTGTCAAGTTCACCCTAATTCACATGGAATCATGCTGCCATGATAAATTTGCCACCTCATACTGTGATGTCATCAAAATGTGCCCATGATGTTGTGATATCACCAGAATGTGGCCCCTGATGTTGTGATATCATCAAAATGTGCCCCTGATGCTGTGATGTCAGCAGAATGTGGCCCCCGATGGTGTGATGTCATCAAAATGTGCCCATGATGTTGTGATATCACCAGAATGTGGCTCCTGATGTTGTGATATCATCAAAATGTGCCCCTGATGCTGTGATGTCAGCAGAATGTGGCCCCTGATGTTGTGATGTCATCAAAATGTGACCCTGATGGTGTGATGTCAGCAGAATGTGCCCCCCGATGGTGTGATATCATCAAAATGTGCCCCTGATGCTATGATGTCATCAAAATGTGCCCTTGATGCTGTGATGTCAGCAGAATGTGGCCCCTGATGTTGTGACGTCATCAAAATGTGCCCCTGATGCTGTGATGTCAGCAGAATGTGACCCCTGATGTTGTGATGTCATCAAAAGTGGATCCCAATGCTGTGATGTCAGTAGCAACACTCTTGTATATTGTAGAGAAATGAAATGATGACTTTATTGTCTCCTGAAATGAATATGTTCGTAATTCAGCTTGTTACAACAGAATATGCCTAAAACATTGTACAAATATTCTGTCGCACTCATGAAATATATATATATAGTATGGATATATACACTGGAAAATATATATATATAGTATGGATATATACACTGGACTATATATATATATAGTATGGATATATACACTGGACTATATATATATATAGTATGGATATATACACTGGGAAACTATTTAAATCTCTATTTCATTTCTAAAACACAGAACAAAAGAGTAAGTAAAACACGGAGGGTATATATCACAGTGTCACTAAATGTTTCTGTGTAAATACTACGCGAAGGGAATGTGTATGTATACCATTATACAATACTAATAACAAATATTAACAAATACAAACGTAATGCTTTTCATATTAGAATGCACCACAAAAAATATATATGTAATGTCAGCACTTAATACTTACAAAAATCTCACACTATTTTGTTGAAAAAAATATATACATATGTATAATATTTGTCTCTTTTCAGTCATTTATCAGTTTTTCCTGATAACGTTTGCCTTTTAATCATTAAAGTACATGTATTGGTTGTCCTTTTGATATTTGCCTCTTTTCAATCATGTATCAGTTTTTCCTGATAAAATTTGCCTGTTAATCATTAAAGTACATGTATTGGTTGTCCTTTTGATATTTGCCTCTTTTCAGCCATGTATCAGTTTTTCCTGATAACATTTGCCTTTTAATCATTAAAGTACATGTATTGGTTGTCCTTTTGATATTTGCCTCTTTTCAGTCATGTATGAGAAGTGTCCTTACATGTATGAGCTGTATCACATAAATCTATAGACTGACCTATTATATTGACCTTTGACCTGTTTTAATAAGATAGGCTTTATCAATAATCTAATCACAGGATTAAAACTCTTGGTATCCTCAATAATCCTCCTTTTTTTGCTCACTTTCCCTCTCTGCACCCCTGGAACATGTCATAGCAAAAATGAAAACTCAGTGTGCGCCACCTTGTGGTTGAGACAAGAAGACTAGTTTGATCCTTTGATGTACATCAAAAGAATCTTGGGGTCCTGTAACAGTAAAATTGAGTGACTTTGATGCCAGGTGTTGCTTCTCTGTAATGTTCAAAGGACTAGTGATTGGTAAGACTATTTATACCTGAGACCAATCAAATATCTAGCTGTGTGTCTTCAATTTTGCTTTGACACATTCCAGGGATGAACGAGCACAGGATTAAACTGCTTTGGGAATTGTAGTCAAGATAAATTAAAATTCTCATCATGTGATTTGTTAAAGTCAATATGACTTTGGATTGTGTTACACAGTGCAAATGATATATATATATGTATGTATTCTAATTTTTCAAAATAATCTTGTATCCTGTATACAGTGAACACTAAAACCCAACTCACCTACTCAAGAATATGCAAGAAAGTTGACCCCCCCCCCCAGAAACCTCCATGCCAAATATCACTTTCCTTGACCTCTTGGAAATAATGAATGCATATCAACACTTGCACCAAAGTTGTAACATGTCGATTTAGGTAGATAAAGTCCAAAGCAGGTAAAAAATAAAACAATTTCTGTCTCTATTGTCAATAAACTGCATTAATGTTGGCCCCCTAAGGAACCTCTATGCCAAATATCAGAACCCGGCCCAGGTAGTTCAAATACTGCACATTATTTTAGTGAATTTCAATGAACACTTGCACCAAAATCTTAACAAACACTGATATGCAAACACCAAGATTGATGTCAAGGTGTCAACTAAAGTCTCATATTCTTTGATAAAGTGAGCATGAAATAGTTTAAGGTGTATTTATAATAGCTATGATGGCTAAAATTTATGGCTTTCATAATTCCAACACTTGTGGACCAAGATTTCAGCATCTACATTGGTCTAAAAGTACAGTCCTAGGATGTTAGAATTCCGTTATATGTTAGGTACCAGTTCTCTATTCCTGATTCAGTTGATCAAAATTGAGATACCTGTAACAGAATTTGTGTTATGCTCTGAGAATTCTAGTTGAGGTGTATCAAATTTCAGTCAGGTTATAAAAATTCCAGTCCAAGTAAATCAGAACTCCTGTAGGTTTTCAAAATTACAGTAGCACATTATCAGAATTCCTTCACTGGGGTAACAGAAATAAAGTCTCAGAGTGTTTGAGGGTTACTATCTAGCCAGTCCTCTATCAAGCTGGTGATGTCACGGCGTTCCATGTCAGTGTGCTGAAGGAGCTCCAGAAGTAGGGCCAAAGTTAGGCGGTGACTTCGGCCTTGGTCCATCAGAAGCTGGTAGGCGGGCTCCTTGTGTGTGTCATACAGCGCGATCGTCTCTCCGGTCAAGCCCAGTAATCCTGTAACATACAAGGGTCAAGTATGTTTTAATTATCAGAATTTCATTTTAACAACGACTAGAAAACGTTTGTAAAACGAACATATGTCCTCAAACTATGGATTTCATGGAAGTAGACCTAAATACAAAGTACAAAGTCTAAGCAAAGTCAGTGAAGTGGCAAATATAGGTCACAATGACCTACTTTGGTTATATTTGGTGTAGTACTTCTCAAGATGTAGCTGCATATGCAGCAAAATCTAACCAAGAAGTCATATGCAGACCAACAGATAAGGCCAACACTAAATGCCCACTCCTCTATGATGCAGGGGCATAAAATGATTTAATACATGCAAAAACATTCTGTATTCCATAGACACAACAAGAAATTATTTCCTACACTAGAAAATATTTGTAAAAGATACATATGCTCTAGCATTGATGGAAATGTATTAAACATCCAACTTTAACCAAAGTCAGAAATGTGGAAGAATATAGGTCACAGTGACCTACAGTTCGGAAGTATCCACATAACAGGAAGGTTGATGACTGTCTTAGTAACAGAGTAATGGAGCTGATGTCCGGACATACAAACTGCCCGAAATGGCAAACACCATCTTTTGGGGGCATAAAAATTGTTTATGTTGTGTTTGCAAAGTAATTGAACCATATGTACACACTTATTTTAAACATTTACAAACATACCTCCAAGGAGCTTCCAGTCGTTACCAAAGGTAGTATCTAGATGTAGTTTCTGGCTGATCCTCCTCAGAATGGTATGAGGCAACTCGTTCATATACTTTCCCATCTGAAACACATTTCAAGTCATATTATTGGAAAATCTCTTTTCAAACATCATATTTTGTATTTCAATTTTGAGGCGAGTTAAAAGCGAATTTAAACATCTCACAGATGTTTTCAGACAAAGTTAAACATGTCATCGTTTTAACACCATTTTAGAAAGCCTGAAAAATACTTTTAAAATTCAGGATTTTCGACAAATACTAACTGCATGAATTAGTGCACTTTGACTTGTCGACAGATACTGACCATATTCGGGAGCCATATTTTGACCTTGCGATGATTGTCAAGCTTCTCGCTGCTGCAGCATATCTGTCGTTTGCTGAGGTCAAGCACGTGCATGTCCAAGCGGTGTTGGTTGTTAAACACGCACTTCTCCTGCAGCGGACATGACGGTCCTAACACGTACTTGACGTCCAAGCCCAACGTAGCCTTACACACTTTGTGTAACCACTGGTACAACACATAAGGGTTGCAGGCAGCTTCTGACCTGTAACATAAGATATATGCCAGTTATTTTGTATGAAGGAGATTTGAACACGTTAGATACATTCAGGAATTCGGTCTAATTATGGGAAATGCTCTTTTTGCCTCAGGCCACAGGTCTGTCAATACGAGGCTAGTACGTATATACCTGTGCTCTGGCTTAGCTGAAAGCTGTAATGTCTCTATCAAGACACTGTTGTTCAAACCCGATTAGTGAAATGTCAAATTAAAGGAAATACTTAATGTATAGTATTTTCAACAAATGCATTTATGCCCCCAGCTCCTTCCTTCATGGAAAGTCTTAACCAAAGAATCGGAACAAAATTAGTGAAGCAAAAAAAATACTTTTATACATTTGATATATTGGGGGTGACATTTGAACTTATTAGAGTAATGAAGTTAAATTTTAGGTCAAACCAAGATCAAAAACATTGCATGCCCCTCCACAATGTTGCAGAGCATTGTTGGAATATTGTCTACTGTAAATGGATCTGGATATAATACTCCAACCCAGCGATGTGACCGTTACAGCAGGTTCTATGGGAAATAGACCCGTTACATTGACTGATATACAATGTAACAGTAAGTTACTATACAAGGGACCATCAGCTGAAGTACCTACCTGGCAAGGTTGATCTGTATCCGATCCCGGAGCTTATGATGATGAAGGGTGAGGTCGTAGCCGAGGTGTGAGAGACAACACGAGGCGGGGCCAATCATGGCAAGATTGTGACAATCGCTGCTGTTGTTGATCGCAAAGGCTAACTGGTAAAACACCAGGCTTGATGTGTGCATGCGGAAGTCCACATACAGGCACAGTTCCGTTGGTTCTGCTGTAGGGGGCGCCAGGGTGCTCTGGTCTGTGATCACATACGGGACTAAGTAATTCATACCTCCCGAATCTGTCCCGGAAGATTTCTGACGGAAAATAAGCCCAAATATTTCCAGCAGATGGATGATCTTTTCCACAGAGTTGTTATGACACTGTTGGGAAATGATATCGGTGAGGTCTTCCTCGGTGATGACCCCCGTGCTGAGGCCCCGGACTCCTTTTTGCCGGGCCCCTTCTAGGGACTGCACTCCCATCAGCTGCTGAAGGAACACGTTGACATTCTGCACACAATCCAGAAGAACTTTTGGATCGATGAACAGAAACTTGTCAAGGTGTAGTACATGGGACAAAGTCAGTGGAGCTGCTTCTGAAACCATAGAAATAAAGAATGTCAAATACACACATGTATATTTATATCAAAGCAATGCAAGGCAATCCATAGTCCCCCACAGGTAATGATTTCTATATTTAACAAACAGTACACTTACGTCAGGATGTAACTATACTGTTCAAAGCATAGGTCATAGTGAGGTCATAGTGAGGTCATAGTGACCTACTTCTTGCACTCGTCATCCCAATTAAGATCACCTAATCTGGTTACTCCAGGTGAAATTGTATAGAAGATATATGCCCCCAGACAAACTTTTTCAAAAGTAAAGGTCAAAACACTTGGAAAGAATATTTGATACTTTCACCTATGGGCTTTTCTAGAGATTTGTAAAAAATATGAATAATGACATCATAAGTACCGGGTACACATACTTGGGATGTCCAGTCTAGCCCAATGTTTACACCCAGAACACTGTTGTTGCTTATGTTTTGTTTATTTCATCTTTATTATTTCTCATAAAAGTCTCATAAGGTATCGGTTTAATTTTCAAAATTGATTTATCAAAGCTATATAGTAATGCCAGAAAATACAGTTCCCAATACATAGCTGGAGATCATTAAGGACCCAGTATACGAACATACACTTAAGCCTAACTAGTCTGGCTGTCCCACAATAAATATTTTGGAGGATCGAGTCCCGTTTTTTCTATTATAAAGTGCCCCAGTAGTCCAAATATTTCATACTAAAAATTAAACCACTTATGATCTGTACATGTACCAACCATGGCCAAAAACCAGTAATTTTCAGACTAAAAGTAAATCTGCCATTTGTACAATCATATATATGTACAGGACAACATGGTGATGAGCTCAACAGTTTCTGACCCTACAGTTATAAATTAGTATATAGAAGTACAAACTATTGGTCTTCAAAAGTCAAAATCTAGATTTCAATTTCTGTAGGCATTCCATTTACTGTCAACAACCTTGGCCTTGCTCAGTGATAAAAGTGGATAACTTGGCTTAAATACAAATGCACTTTTTCTTACTTGATGACAGGATCTCGCCAACATTTTTAAGGTCGGTCCAGACAATTTGCTGAAGGTCCTGACCACCTCCTGGTACCTCGTCCTGAAACATGCTGGAGAACTCTACCTCATCAATAAACAGCTTCTGTTCGCCCCGCCTTACGGCTTCAAGCTGAAGCATCATTGCCACAGAGGGCAGTGATATCTTCTGTTTCAGTGTCATTTCACCAAGAACCTTCCAAATTCCCCGCTGGAGCTGACGACTCACATCTTGAGCCTCTACACCATCCACTCCAGGGCAGAACAGTTCTGGCATGGGCACGTTATATTTCTGTATCTGCTGGCCGAACGGCAGATAGAAAAGTGTGCGTACTTCATCGACGCCCACAGTGGCATCATTGTACAACAATCCATATGTCAAAATTGGGCATTCATATCCGTCAAAACACCGAATTGTATGAATCACATTCTGCAGGCGCTGAATCTCTGTATGGGTGGACGTCACCACTTTTGCGCCATCGAATGTCAATACAAATATACTAGTCCTTGTGAATAAATACTGGCAACAGTGATGGAAAAATTTGTCCTCGGGCGTAAATTTATCGTCTGGCATTATGAAGAATTCTACATTGATAGAACCTTTGTGTATAAAGGAACTTGCATCATCACGGTCTCTGAATATGTCACTTTTTGTTAAAGACTCATTACTAGCGTGTAATCTGGACGACGACTCGTCGTTAAGGAGATAATCAAACGAGGACCAGGATGTAAAACTGATTGCACCTTCTCTGTCCATTCCCATGGTGCACTTGACACACTGATACAAGCTGTTGTTATTGTCTGACGGAGAAGATAACATGCCGGGCATTAACAGGCGTGCAAGGGCCCTCGCTTCACTGCCACATAGAAACACACGCACTTTAGGCAGGTTTACTGTCCTGTTCAATTCAAACAGGTCGACATTGATGTCCTGTGGATCCTGTGGGTCGCTGCTGTCAGGCAGCGGGTTTACACGATAGCTCTTGCCACCCCGCTGTACAGGGTCACATGAGGCTGGCCGCGCCTTTCCTGGGTTGTGGGCTGGTAACCTTTGGTATGTAGGCATCTTGGGTGGTTCTGAAGCCAGAGGAAGGCCAGGGACAGACGGATAGTTTACATCTGGGTCTGGCAAGGATGGGGTTGTGGGGAAGATGTTCTGAGACAGACCCTCGGGACGCTGTAAAACAATCCGTACCATGGTCTCCTTAGCCAAGAGCTCTGGTATACTGCTGGCCTGTGGACAGATACAATAAGTTTTGTAACAATTCACTGCTGAGGAAGTTGATACATTTACATTTAGCAGTCATTGTTCCATGGTAGGAGACAAACACCCTTATGTGGAATAAGACAAAAGAGGCTGACAAATAACTAACGACATTGCTGTGGCTGAGCAGGACTGCTAAATGACATTCCTGAGTTTCACTCGAGGTTTGCCTATTGACCAAGAGCACCAGTTCATAACTTACTTCTCCCAGACTCTGAACGGCCAACATTAACTGATGAGAGTTTTTGGTGCTCTTGAACGTCTTACTAATGACCAAGAGCATCACCATATAATTATGATACCTACAAGTAGCTCCGGAGGACTACCTTATGACAAATAGCACCAGTTTAAAAGCAACTTACCTCCCTAGGGCTCTGGAGGGGCTGACCATTGACTGAGCGGATCCAGTCACCAACCATGAGTTTACCGTCAGCAGGGCCGTCTGGTGTTATACACTCCACAAGGGTATACAGGTCGTCAGCATTCTTAAAATAAACACACAAATAAGGTCAAAACAGGTAAGTACAGGTGATGTACATCTTTATATAGGAAGCATGCTGTCTAATCATTTCCTATTCCTTATTTATGTTATCACTGATTCTTTTTTTTATATTTAATTTCATTAAATGGACCTGATCGATATACATGATTAATTTGGTAACCTTTCTTTCGAGCAGAACATGAAGCTTATGCTGGCATATTTTTGCGTTTTATGAATTTTTTTTTGCATGTACTTCATTGATACATGTAGTGATAAAGTGTATATGACCTGCATGGAGTCTGGTATTTATAACTGACAATAGTTTTTATTGACAGACACCAAAAGCTTGGACACTGTCATTATCCCCTAAAACTGTTGTTTACCTGTAATACTGCGGTTGTACCGATCAGAATGAGTTTGCAGGGATCAAATTTTGTGCAGCATGGCTAGGCTAATGAGTGTGCTTTGTATTTGGTTGATAGGATTTTAATTTTATTAATGTGTAAACAGATTTCTTTTTTTTGTGTTTGCAAATATATATCCATGGAGAATTTAATACATGGTAATAATAATATTTGCTGGGTTTTTATTTGTTTGCTTTCTTTGGTGACCAGGCGTGAATATAACAAAAGAATTCCCCCCTGTGAATATTACCAGCTATACTGTAGCTTACCTTTGACATTTTGACCTTGAACTTGAAGCCAAATGAGCCTCTAGCCCCGCGTGTTAGTGACACTGTCTTTGTGACTGGGTCCCAATGTATGAAGTGTGGGAACCGCAGCAGGTCACTGGTATTAGTACTAGGTCTAACCAACAGGGGGTGGTTCATGGTTGCTGGGACAGAACTACACGTGCGACCATTGATATCAGTCATGGCTTGGGTCCTGCTGTCCACGGCAGGAAAGGACGTAGCCCGATTTTCGTCACAGTTAGCGGATCCCAGGCCTGTGCTGTCTAGGAATGGACGGCTCTCTGGCGACTGCTGGCCCTCCAATCCCTGAAGGAGAGGCTCTGACTCGACAGGCCGACGTTTATTGTCAGGACCCTTTCGCATACCTGTGCAGGACCGACCACTGCTGTTTGACACCTGGTCCCGGCTCCGTTTGCTACTGATGCTGACAAGGGAACAGATGATGACCTCTATGACAGGGGTGGACAGACCTGACAGGAGTTTCCACAGCAGTGCTGGGGCAAGTAAGGTCACGTCAAGGTGATTGATAAACAGGATGCGGTCAAGTAGATTCAGGACGTCACCTCTACCGAGACAACATTCTGGCTTGACCTTGGTCACTATTGAAAATGTTTCGTTGTTCCCCTGTCAACATGAATACTCAAATGTTATACATGTAGATTGCATTATCATTCTCACTTGACATCAGAAGTTCTTGATATCAAAATATATATCTGAATTCAAACTGAAATATTATTTTATTCAACAACTCAAACTTCACAAAAATCTCACTGATACCAGGTAAATAATAAAATTTAGCTGTGGTGCAATACGAGTTGGCCTTCTGTTTAAATTATGTAAAGATAAATGTCGAAGACAGCATTAGCGTCTGTGACCTTGACCTCTGTGTGTACCTGGATAATGTCGACCTTGATGCCTAGTTTGCCAGTACTGGTTTTGGTGAGACTGATGCGTCTTGTGTGGGACCAGAGTGCCCGGTCAGGATCGACCTTGAGTATTTCGATGGCTTGGTGGATGTCATTTGGGATGGCACCCATAGCTTCACCTCATACCAGGGGGTCACATGACTACAGGTGATAGATCTGAAATTACAGAAAAAACATGTTATTACAAGTTGTCCAGTTATAAGGCTGCAGTTAAATATAAACTTAATTCATTTAACAACAATTATGAAACAAGTTATTTCAACTTATATTAATCAATCTTGTTGGCTCGGATGTTAGCGCACGTGGGTCTTATTATTGTTGAAGGAAACCGGAGTACCCGGAGAAAACCAATGTGGTTGGGCAGGTGACCCCATATACCTTTTCACGTCCGATCGGCGAATCGAACCCTGGCCACCTTGGTGAAAGGCAAGTGCGCTATATATCCACTGCACCATCCGACCATTTTATGGCTGCAGTGCAAGCAATGACTACATTTTACATGATGATTTTGACACACAATATTGTTGTATACACCATATGTTATAGCATGAATACAGCCATGTAATGATGAGCTCAGGTAAATTAATATGACCTATGACCTATTGTGATGTCATAAAATGATAATAAAATCTCATCAGACTTTCTAAATCATATCATGACATCGAAGTGGAGGCAAAATTAATAAAATCAAGATGGCCGAGTTCGAGACTTCGGGGATGACTGGAAAAGCATGTTTTTCCTTAATATTCACAAAAATACTTGATCATGTGATAATAAACGATCTTATTTTATTTTAACAGTGTTCAAACTTAACGGTAGACCATCCATAGACAATCACCACAAAAACACTGTAGGTCTATGGAGGTCATTAATTCCAGAGACGGAATTGTCTACAAGTTTTTCCTATGATGTGTATGATTCTATGACAAATATAATATAGTAAATGTTCTGTAATATCACTTATAACATTATAATATTTACTTAATTTCGTGTTACCAAGTGATAAATATTTAAGTAAGATTTTCTAGATAAAGGTCTTGTCTATGAAAATTTCAGTAGGTCTATGAGAAATCTACAATATCACATAGCTACCAATTTTCTATCGTTTGTAAATTCTTAATTCTGTTTTATGTGAGATTTATTAGTCTTCACTTCATGACTTATAATTTACTGGTAAAATGCAGCGTCTGTAAATCTCAAATCAAATTTTTTACTATATATTTTAATTTAGCATGCAGTATGCAGGTTTTACGTTTTATGTAATTTTTATTTATTCTTCATTAATGGAGGAATTATGGTCCATGTCAATTATACCCCCCTATCTTGACCTCTATAGAACATAATATTGATTAATAACCATAGGTACAGGTAGTACAGTATATGATTCAATTTGGTCTAATTGTATGCATGGTCGGATGGGTATACAGATTTTTTGTGTGAAAACATTTGGCAGTTTTAAAATGATTACGATTATGAATATATTATGACCGTCAGACAAAGAAATTGAATACTGACCTGTGTAGGACAACGACAGAGTCATACATACATACGTAAGTAAGATTATTTATACCACATATATACTGTACTAGGTTTACCCTGTGTGTGTTATAGATTGATCAATAACTAGCGTGTCAGTTTATATCACACAATGTCTTTCCTGTTACCGGCCAGCCCAGCATTATTTACATTTAAAGGCCAGCTATATAGGATACACCTCCCACGATGGAACAAGCAATTAATTTCCAGGCTGTTGTTTGTTTGCATTGTTGTAATCCTAATAACTGTGAACACTTTAATTAAAAACATAATAGTAAATAGATACGTTGTGAGGCAGACATTTCATGTTAAAACGGGAAACCAAATTGTCACACCCACTAGATGGGTTGCATGTTGGGAAAAATGGCCACTGCACACTGTACGGGTGAACAGAACTACTGTTGGTGCTGTTCCAATGTGCAAAACTACACAATCATTTAGTGTGCAATAGTGATGACAGACCAACAGTTAGATAGCTAAAGACTATGTGAAAACCAAAGCGCCTTTACCATAGACCTGATATCTAATTATATAACTAGAAACTTGTTTTTGTGAACAAAAACATATGTCTCCCCTTATTAGACAATAGACAACTTGGGTATAAATATATAGTGGGGCAAGAGACCTAATTCAAGTGCACTGTACACCTTCTGTGGGTGATGCAGGTATACTTCAAGTTTGACTAGGATATCTTTAATGGTTTAGAAGTTATGCCGTGGACAAACTAAGATATCAAAAAATAAACAAAGGGCCATAACTCTATATAAAGTGGGGCAAGAGACCCAATTTCAGTCCGAGAGATTCCCCCTTCCCAAGATACATGAATATGGTAAGTTTGGTCAACGTAGGTGACATAACATGGAACTTATGCTCCGGACAAACTTCGGGTCATAACTCTGTAATTAGTGAAGCACGAGACCTAATTCCAGTGCACTGCACACCTTCTGTGGGTGATGCAGGTATACTTTAAGTTTGATCAAGATATCTTAAACGGCTTAAAATGTATTGGCCAGACAATAATTTACTGAAAATGTTGCACTAATATTTGACCTTTGACCTTGAGGTGAAGGTCACAGTGATCTAATTCCAATGCACTGCACACCTTCTGTGGGTGATGCGTGCATACCTCAAGTTTCATCAAGATATCTTTAACGGTTTAAAAGTTATGGCCCGGACAAGTTGCAGTTAGAAGAACCAGAACCAGAAGAAGAAGAACCAGTACTAATTAAATACAATATGTCTCCCTTCATTCGAAGGGGACACATACCGGTCATTAACCCTTTCGCCCTATAGACCATAATGGACTTATCCAGTTCAATGCACAGTAGAGTTTATTAAAGTTACATAGGGGTGAAAGAGTTGACAAATATAAATATCTATAGTGAAGGTATTAAAAAACAAATTTGCAAACCCTCCATCCCAGCTGCCAAATAATCAGATGTTATAACCTATGGCTTTATGGTTCTTAACAAGATGTTGTTGAAAATATCAATTGTTAGGGACAATAGACTAGTTAGAGATTGGAATGTTTTTTAGTCACTTGAGCTTTAAGGTGAGGTGATCTAAACAAGTTGTAATCTTTGAGAATGTGGTTGAGTCTATGTGCAATCTGAATAGGTATGGACTTTAGTCCATGACTAACTTCACACAATGAAACAGTATGTGACATGAGTGTTGATTTTGTATGGCACACAATATGTGACACCGCAACTGTTGTACTGTGTATTAAACGGTTAAACGGTTTTCGAGCTCAGGTAAAAAGTGATTTACAGGTATAACACCCAGTTCAGAGTAAGGTTATAATGTCCTGATGTCATCTTAGAGTGCTTTCTTGCACTTAACAGCGACAATTTGTGTGTGTTTTCGTAATCTGTTCGGGTACAAGAAGGTAGAGAGTAGGCTAGCTGTCCAGTAGATCTGGTTATTGCCTTCACTCACTCTGTATACAGTGAGACAGGTTTACTGCAAGAATTCTGGTATCCCAGCCCACATATAATGTATGGGAGGTTTAATTCTATTATTGTGGCTGTAGACATCCTTTGATGTACACCACACTTGACACTTGATACTTTATACACAATAATCTAGACCAGGAAGTGGTGGTGTTATACCCTGCAGCTTGTTTAATATGTCAGAACATGACGACACCAGATAAGCTCTCTCTGGCTTTACCCATATGGCCACCATGATATCTGGAACGAGTTTCTAAATTTACACCAAAGTTTACACCGTATGTGTGTGCCTTATCAAGTTGTTTTGAACCTAAAAGTATTTGTACCTGTTCACTCCTATTTCTATTTACTTTGTATAGGATTGTAAAGGTGTAAAACGTTTACATGCACAATGCACACAGTGACTGAGCATATATAGTGTATTGCAAATGATATGCATAAGGGGCATCATTTACATGTAGCTGTTTGCATTTGCATGATTGTAATAGTAAATTGTACACAAATGGGTTTGAAAATTAATTTCATTTTGAATTGATATATCTTTACCGAAAAAATATATGGAAGAAAAATCCTTCCGTTGTTGTTCTGAGCCTTTTCACGTTATTTCACAAACTGGTACATAGATATATATATATATGCTGTGTATATATATATATATATAGTTTTCATAACATGTTTGAGATTTAACATGGGCTTGTCTAAATTCTTTATTCAATTCCAGTTTTTCCCAACCACTATATGTACAGTCACACGACCTCTGTGTCTCAAGACAATCGAATCACTCAATGCAAGGATCAATATATATAAGCTCCATGGTTAGGTTCGAAAAAATAGGACACAATTGTTGAATGTATATCAAATTTACTCATGACAAATATGTGTATTATTATCATAACAGCTAGGCATATCATATGTATAATGATTACAAAGTGTTTTTTATTAAAATAACACGCCCAAGAAAGCAATTTACCTTTTTTCTACTAGGCCTTTGGCAGAGGTTCAGTACGCTGTAGAAATAGCTAATATTCTGAGCACGAGATTTATGAAAGTATCAAGAGTGATCCCTTGTGCATTATATAAAGCTGAATGTGAGAGTTGGGAACATATGTACAGGAATGAAAACAGGATGCTAGAATAGGGAGAAAGTGAAAATATCAAACAGAGAGGTAATAAGTTTAGGTTTTTTAGATTACAAGTTGGAAATTATAAACAGATGTTGATTACAAAATTTACTCATTCACCCCTAAATATTTAAATTGGACGAGCCCAGTCTTTCACTTGGTAAGGTCCAAGTGTGACTTTAGGGGTGAATGGGTTAAAGTACCCTATAAATGTTTACCCGAGGTGTAGCTCCTGGTCCTATACAAACGGGACGGTATATGATGAAAGATGAACTGCATATAGATAATATGGTATGTGTGATAAGTTATATACGTTAAAACTTAGCGTGACTTAACCCTTTCACCACTGTAGACCACAATGGACTCATCCAGATCAATGCATGGTAGAGTCTACTAAAGTTACATAGGGGTGAAAGGGTTAATACACCCAATTCCTCTAGCCTGTTTCTGTTTGACTGGTATGTTTTAGCCTATCATTATATATATCTAAGTGGACATTTTCTTATTAAGCCACACCTACATTTAATCTTTAATTGCAAGTTTGACTGTTGGAATAAATGTATGTCGCTTTGTGGTTTAGGACTGTGGTTTTCTATAATGCCCCTTAATTATAACCCGGATATATGCTATATAAACGTTACTGCCAAAATCTGCTTTGATAATAAACATTACGTAAATTACAGTCACAATCTTAAAAGGCATCAGGTACTTGTATTTATGGGTTGTTATATAGAACGGTAACGAAGGGAAAATGTAGATCTTGTGCCTTCCAAAGCAATCACTGAATGTTTTACAGAGCAGATGCAAATAACACCCATGGCAGCCAAATGCAACTGTTCTGGCTAGGTGAAAATTAGAAAAAGTTGAGTGAAATTTATTCTCTGAGTAAATGATGTACTTGACCATCTACATCATGTACTGTAAAAATACTGTGAGGAATAATATATATTCATTGTCTAAAACAATCTACAAAGTTTTAATTTTTGCTACATAATACAGATGTTTTAACGCTTAATATATTATGGCCAATGCCTACCATTACTGTTCTGTGAAAGAAACAATAGCAATTTCTATTTGCCATGTACGCCTAAGTTTCTTTTCACTTGCACATTCTAGATCTGTATGGGAGAGTTCGAGGAAAGCCACTGTACATGTAAAAGCTTTAAATTTAACAGTGTAAACTTATGAAAATCTGTGACAAGTTGCTAGCTACGATGAGTACCATGTTATGCATCAGAAGTGAACTAAAAAGGAAATGCAAAATCCCTATACATGTACTTATGATATGAGTTCAGAAAAGTCATTGATGAGCTCAGTGTTGACACAAAGTGTTTGTCACGTTCTTCGTGTAGATCTAGAACTGGAAGCCGCCTTCTGACTATTGTTTATGTAATGTATATACATGTATATGTTGATCAATAAAGCTTAAACAATGCAACATGATCTTTTTATGACATATTACACAGTCACCTCCCATCTGGATACACAATACAAAATACGAAATGATTCCATGCATAGAAACACATACTAATGTTGAAGTTTCTGTTCTGGTATGTAGTACACATGTACATACTCGAAACATTATCAAGAAAATATATAGATAAGAATACAGGAAAACTAATATCAGCATACATACATTATATACCTTACTGTATTCAGATCAACAATATCCTGGATAACATTTCTAAATCTTTGTTTGTATATAATGATATTGAAAACCATAACTCTTCTTACTTCAATACACATTTAACAAGGAAGCATGTGGCCTGGATGACTGGTCAAAATGACAACTGTTTTTTTTTCAAATTGTGCAACATTAACCCAAAAAAGGAAGCTACCCACAAAGAGCGGGATATATTTGACACCATTTAGTGAAATGAAGCACTTTTATTTAGAAAATCATGTCACTGTGGCCCAGGGTGATCCTTGTCTGCACTGTTGCATCTTTAACTGTAAACCTATAATTAAGTTCCATTCAACGTTATAAACCACATGTCATGAAGTCCATAGACTTTTGCCAGCAAATTAAAGCAATTAACTTAATCATACACATTCAGTTGTATCCATCATAATTAGTTCCCATCAAATGTGATTGAGTTACATAATCAGGGCAAAAACATTCCAAAAGCATTAATTGCTACATATTTTCATATAATAATAATAATAATAATTGGAGGTTCTTATATACCGCTTTATCCCAACCTAGTTCGTAGGTCGTCTCAAAGCGGTTCACAAATTATTATCTGTGGTTATACGGCCTTTGCAACTAGCCAGTATATTTCTCAACTCCCTGGGGAGCATACAGCCGGAGCTGCCATTTCGGCGCTAACAGCTAGCATTCAACAATTCTAGCACTGCCCAACCACGTACTCATTTACAGCTGAGTAGACTTGAACAAGCAGAGTAAAGTATCTTGCTCAATGATACAACACATTGCCGTGCCGTGAACCCGCAACCCTTCAGTCACGAGCCCGGCATCCTACCACTGGACTTTCGTGCCTCATATCCAATGTTGCTGCCTCAAAAATGTATATTATTATCTGAGTGGACAACTTCCATTGGCTTGTATATATAGGATCTTAATTAAGTTTTCATTTTATATGAGATTTTATGAAACGAGTCTTAGGAAAACTTCGAGACGAGTTTCATAAAAGCTTGTATGAAATGGAAACAAATTTGAGATACCTTTTATCACATAACTCAGAAAACTTACATTTTGACAGGTTTTAAATCCAAAATGTAGAGGGCTTAATCAAAACGGAGACAGCCATTTTGTTGCGCCATTCACAATTTATGACGTCACATCATTGTCCATATTATGACGTCACAATGAAAAATGCTCCAGGGTATATTACACTAGTGACATATGTAAAAATATTACATGAGCGAATTCCATGGATAACAGGCCGATTATGTGATAAATATATATCTAGTATAGATCTGGACCAATTACATTTCATATTGTAATGATTGAAGTACCAGTTAGCATTAATTACAAATATAAGTAATGTTGACATTTTTGGTAAATGTTCATCAACCATTTTCCCAAAGTGGCTATAGTTTGGTTTGTTTGTGTTTTATGTCCTATTAACAGCTATGGTCAAAGTCGCTATAGCTACAGGTTGGTTTGTCACATACATGACTGTACTTGATGTCGGTCAAGAATTAAGTGAGATGAAAAGATACTGCCAGTAATTGTAGACTTGCATGGATAACATAATGTATAGCAAACATGTAACGAATAGTGATTAAGTATCAATATTTTTCAGTACTCACATACATTTGATTATTCATTTTATTGCCTTTGACGATAGTCAAACTGGGAAAAATGATGTATTGGAATGTCATTTATAGACATGGTCCCTGTAGACTGATGAAATACAGATTTTTTTTGTTTATCAATGCAGTGACTGAGATAAATAACCATCCTTCCATCCATGTACGTATGAACAGTACATAAAAATTACCCAGCAGACAAAACTACATAACCTGAAGTGTAAACCAAACCCAGGGACAAACTACCATATCAGGTAATGCCACAGAATTGGATTAGTTCGTGGTAATGCCAACTCTACTACATGTACATTTCATACCCTATCCTTTCCAGGGGTTACGCTACAGAGAGCGTAGGTGAGCGTAACCCCTGGAAATCGAGGATGGTCTTAGAGACCATCCTCGATAATACCGATTTTTTTTTATTTAAAAAAAAAAAAAATGAAACTTGACACATAACATACCCTGTTCCTGTATAAGATAGGAGCTAGACTTCCAGTAACGAAAGGAATGTGTGAAGTGGGAAGGGGTTAGGTGTTGATTGACAGAGGAAAGTCGTTTCGGGACATGTCAACAAGTCGTTTCTGGATATTTCATTTTTTTTCTTCTGTTTTCTCTTCAAACATATTTTATTGTCAAATAGATTTAAACAATGGATTGGGTAAAAGTTGTTACACAAATACACCACATAAAAGCATTACTCAAAATATATTTAAATAAATAAATGAATATACAACATTTGATATAGCGCCCTGTCTAGCTAACATAAGCCACTCTAAAGCGCTTTACAGTACATAAATATACAATTTTATACAGTCAATACAATTAGCATATAAATAAATCAATACAATATTGAGGAATTTGCAGGCGCTAACTACTAGTCCTATACCACCTGGCTAATACCTCCCTATGTGTGTATGCTTGTGTGTATTGCTGGATTTGATGAACTGATTCACATGTCTAAAACATATATTCTACTTATTTCATGTTTTTACTTTCATAAAATTAAACTTCAATATAGCAAAATAATGCTTAACACATTGTTAAAATTAATGTTTACTCATTCACCTCTTAATGGCAATAATGGAGAATAAAGTGAATTGAAAACCAGGGATGTGTAGTGAAAACATATTATTACAACAGCAAACAAGGAACCTATATATTAGCTATCAATAACGAAAGAAATTGAATGTTAAATTTCATAAGTTCCTCCCTGTATTCAATGAGATTAGTTTCAACAGGTAACAACATACTGTCAATTGTGAAAATGTTGGTAGGTATATATATCCCCTCAAGCATTAGCAATCTGGTAACACTAATGATCCCGAATGTAGTTTATTAGTGAACATTTTATATGTACCGAAACGACTTTATTAACGTCAATAAGTCCCGAAACATTTTGTGTTATGTCCCGAAACGTCTTCGGCACTCCCGAACCGACTTGTTACCGAAACTAGAATTCTATACAATATGAACATTCTCCAAATAGTTATTGAATAATATTAGTCCTGGATGAGTTCTCCCCGCATAAAAGGGTTAACAATAAGTTATATCATAGGCCTAGGCAATATGTATTCCTTACAAATATTATATATTTGATGAAGACAACTACAACACAAATAAATTGACGACCGCTAAAACTGTAACAATTGGTCTAATTTCTAAACAATACAGTACTGTATCCTCTGTTGTTTTTCTCGGTCAATGACGACCATGCCTGTTTTTATGCGATACAGTAATCATTCAAAAATGTTCAGAATATAGACAGATAACACATGTCATTATGATACTCACATATCATGATGCCCTCAGGTAACTATGTTGGAAGGAAACAAATAGTTTCTGATTTCTACTACAGTATAATTTCTTATTGCGAACACAGAACGCCCGTTTCTCGCTTCTCGTTTCCAGGAGTTAACATGACAGTTATGAAAAGTCTAAAAACATTCCGAGTGTGTGGACGTACAAAATTAAAATCGTCAAATGGTAAAAAATCCGCATTAAAGGAGAAAAATGTGTTTTGAAATAATTTCATGACGATGCTTTGGTACTTATGACAACGATGTAAATTTATTTGTTTCTAATGTGATTTAGATTAAATAATTACTACTCAATTGAATCCAGCATTATACAGATTACTTATACATATATGTGAAAATAAGGAGTTATGTCCCTTTAACAGATTGCCGGCTGACAGCAATCTAAGAACGAGTGGAGGTAAGCTATTATAAGATTATTTCCATGCTGTTATTGCAACTATGGCTTCTATAATCGATGCACGGAATCAGCCGAGTATTTTACTGTAATGACAAGCTTAGTATACGTAACTTTATCACTTATTTTTTAACAAAGAGGCGTCAAGAAAGTTGACCTAATTCTTGTATCGGGGGAGTGTAAGATCGTCGAGCCTGCTGTTGACCTCGCCCCCTCATAAGATTGCCACGTAAAAAAAATGTTCAGATAAAATGTGACATATGCTCACATATGTAGGTACCCATATAGGGACGCTTGGAGTGTGCTATCTGATTGATATATTGGGTTAGGCAAGGGATAAATCATTAAATCATAAATCGTTTGAGGCCCTATTTCTGTGCCCTGACCTCTTCAGCCATTTACGTCACCAATTAGTTAATGCACGGACTTAGATAGCTAATCTAATTCCGCGGTTAATGTCTGCAAGATGTTGAAGAAATTGAATAAAAAACAAATAAAATTAATGCAGTTTTACTCAAAAACATGCAGAAAAGTAGCCTTTCTATACCTATCAGGTTCAGTACACACTCTGCCGATTGAGCTATATAGCTACATGTATAAGACCTATATAGCTATATACACCTATAAATTATAGCTGTATTGAGCTAAATTTTCTTAGATTTCATTAATTTTTAAAAAGAATCCTTATATTTAATGTCTTTTGTTATCACCCTAATGATACAATCTTCTTTTAAAAGCCACTTTGTTTCGTTTTCCTTAAAAAAGAAAATCACAAAAGACCTATTTCAGATAGGTCAATATAGCTATTATAGGTCTTTACAGCTATATAGCTCAATCGGCAGAGTGTACTGGACCTGCCTATATTTATTGGATTGGAAAACACTTAGAAGTACACTTGGAAAAAGTTACATGATTTTTTATGCATCATGTCATCATTTTTAATGTTTAACAAAACTTGTGTGACTGTCATGTGCTGGTTCATCTGGCTATTTACAGGCAGCACCAAAAAGTATGTTTTTTTCTTTCTGTGAATTTTCTTCTTTATTCTTGGTAAATAATAATTTCTACTCAAGTTTTTTTTTTGTGATTAAAAATATTGCAGATCATTCAACAAATGTAAACATTTTCTGTTGATACATATTTTTGGACCGTAGCAGTATCACAATAATTAATATATACACTGTGTGTAAGCACAGACACTGCGGTCACAAAATGGCATCATTCTGAACGGGAGCAGGATTGAATATAAGTAAAGGAAGTTATTGCAAACCATATCTTTCCAGTTAAATTTTTAAACTTAAAATTGTTGATAAACAATGTAAAGCAAATTTTGATGATTAATTTTGCTATTAAGTTGTTTCTTTGGCAAGTTTCATACTAAGGGCTCAGAAACTGGTCACCCAATGTTACACATAGGATTTGTACTGTAGCTAGGCAACATAGGAAATACCAGGATTGTTTGAAGTATAATGACTCTTTTTTTTTAATGTATTGTAATATTGATGATTGACCTGCAGAGTTTTGTGTCTTATTTGATGTCCTACATAGTCTTATGTTGTATTGAACTACTGACATTGCCTGGTGTCCTATTTCATGACCCAGAGCTCGAGTCTGGTGTCATATTTGATATCCAACTCGGTCAGATCCTATTAAATGCCATAGTCTAATGTCTTGTCATGCATCTACATACATGCAGTCGTGTATCCTGTTTGATTACCTACATTCAGGCTGTTGTCTTATTTGATGCTCTGATGAGTATAATGTCTTGTTGCCTTTTAATGTCTTGCAGAGCTTGATGCCAATATTGATGTCCTAACAAAGTGACCAGACAGCTTGACCATGCCATCTGACCAAAGCCTGGTCACACTGGACGATGTCCAAAGAGCCAGAGAGGTGCTATCCAATAGCTCTCTGGGTGTGTGCAGGACACCAATGATAAAAAACTCAGCCATGTTTCCGGGTCTAGAGAATGCTGAAGTGTACCTAAAACTGGAAAACATGCAGACTACTGGTACATGCCTCTTTAGTCCTCTGTCTTAGAAATAAATAATTTTACATGATTTGTTCAACAGACACACTGGTGCTTAGACTGGTTCTCCTTTGGGGTGTACAACATTTTTTCTTCAATTCGTAAACTTTTGGGAATTTTATTTTCTCCAACCTCTTGAGTAAGATGCACGTGTCCCATATGGAACACTTATGTAGGATATGGGACTCTCTTACCCTCGACAGGTGTATCCACACTTCTTGATGAAACATATCTTTGTCTCACCGTAGGGTTGAGACGGGGGGGGGGGGGGGGGGGGGGGGGGGGGGGATTCCCCATTCATACCATATTATGTCATGGCACGAGTGTAGGTCAGTGACTTGACTCATTCACCCCTGACTTTTCATAATGAACTATTCCAACCTTTGAATTGGAAGAGTTCAAATGTGTCTTCAGGGGTGAAAGAGTTAAATGTAGCCTATTTTGAACATGTGCATAGGTTAGTATTTGGTTATTTACCTGCGCTGATGCGTTGCAATATTGGAGTAATGTGTTCAATATCAAATCGACCTTATCATATAAAAATGAAAAAAAATAAACTAAAAATCTTGAAAGTTATTTTTACTTTGTTATTCAACATTACAATGATGTCACATCAACTACACATTGAGCCTACAATGTTTATATTGCATTATGTATCTGATAGAGTCAACAGAGATAAGAGAAAAAGAATTATTCACCCCAGAGTCAACAGAGATAAGAGAAAAAGAATTATTTCCCCCTTGAGGAGAGGCGAGGAGAGGAGAGATGGGGGAATCTAACCCCTCCATTCTTAAGATTCTTAAGTTGCTAAACATGAGGTTTGCCGAGTGTTTGACAAACAAAAAATCTTTTTCCCCCCGAGGGATGTGATTCCCCTATCTCTCACCCGCAAAGGGGGTGACAGATTGTATTAATCCCGAATGGGTGCACTCGGTGACCTTCACTATTACGAAGTCACAATCAGATGATGGTGTTATTTATGATGACACAAACAAAAGCCTGCGAAAACGTCGTTTGACTGACTGACAAACTTATCGTCACCAAGTGACACCAATCCAGAAACGGAAGAATTATTGCACAAGCTTTCCCGGAAGATCTTTTATGGATCTTTGAATTTGAGGTTTACCATTGGTATTCAGTGTTCAGAGAGATCTCCCTCATTCCACATTTCCAATGATGGAGAAAGTGCTTGAAACACGACTGCAAAACTGCTTTTCTTAATTTATCTTTCCCTTTTAAAGTATCAAAATAACTCCAAAAAACATTCATTCGATTCAGACACGCTTAATATGATCATTACACACACCCTGCAGTAACTAGGAGATCATTTGACCACAGGATGTAGATTTTGAGTTTGTGTGAGTTTGGACTTGAATGAGGGAGTTTGACAGCTATGCCTCAGTTTGTAGATACACTATCTAGAAGATTTGCTATATTTACATTTGCATTGTCTATGTCCTGTTTTATCAAAGTTTTGGTTAAGAGGTGGGAGAAAATAGTCTATCAATTTATATATGTAAGTATGTGGGACATAGGAATTCTACCCTCAGATGTTTCTTTTTGTTAAATGCAATCTGTATTAGTTTCCTTCATTTTGATATTAATTACAATGGCCAAGCCTCCTTCTTATATCTTTATTTATTGAAAATCAAATTCTAGTAAAATTGGATATTATTTATGAAATACAATTACAGATCATAATGTCTAATCTGTGGAATGTTTAGGAAAAGATTATTCACAGGAGAGATTGTTACAGACAGTAAGAAAAAGAACAAAGTATTGTGCTACCATAATTGAATAGTGTTTCCCTAGGTATCTAAAATAACTGAGAATTTGAAATCCTTTTGGGGATGTTCTCTATCCAATTCCATTCACACAGAAACCCCCACCCCAACTGAAAAAGCACACCTGTATGGGGTAAAAGAACTGTTGTGTTATAATAATACTTTATTTTTAGAGGGTGCAACTCATTTAGCAAACAATAAAGGCTAATCTTCCATGAGGCCCTCTTTTAGAAGGTACACAACCATAGAAGAACATACAATGTATAACAACAAATAATCAATAATCAACATGCACTCAATAATATTCTTAATAGTACATAAGTATATGGCGATAGTTAGACAGATACTTGTTTACAATGTTCGTGACATTTTACGTTAAATTCATAAAGGTTGCTGGCAGTCTTGATTTCACTAGGAAGTTGATTCCATATATTTCAGGTCCAGAATACCTGAAAGTTTGTTTTCGAGTATTTATTCTAGGCTTTGGTAACTGAAAATTATGGTTTGCAGCTGATCTTAGATATAAATAGTTATATTATCCTAATATCCTTAAAGGGAGCACACCAGTTAATCAAAAATAATTGCTGTGTTACTTCATGTATCTAGGTAGCTCATCAATAAGAAAAAAAATGTTCCTCTACCTTGATTACAGGTAGAAAGCTGTGCTACAATAATTTAGGAAGCACACAGCAGAAAAAAAATCAGCATTGCTTTGATTATAAAATTGTTTATTCAAATTTCCAGGTTCTTTTAAGATCCGAGGAGTGGCAAGTCAGATGGCTTTCATCCCGGACGAAGTTAAACGAGGGGAGAAAAAACTGATCACAATGTCTGCTGGAAATTACGGAAAGGCGTTTGCTTATGCCCTCAACAAGATGGGTCTTTCAGGTCTCTGTCTGATGCCTTTAACAGCACCATCAAGCCGTGTTCAGCTTATCAAGGTAGCCATCTTGTTTTTGTTTCCGAGGTTTAATCATGAATTTTATGGATATAAAAAATAATGCATGTATTTTGTTATTAACTCATTCACCCCTGAAACTTCATTATGAACTTTTCCAACCATTGAATTGGAAGAGTTCAAATGTGTCTTCAGGGATGAATGAATTAATGAGATTTTCATTTCGGACTAATTTTCCCTTTAATGTGACTCATTGCCTCGGCTGACCTTAATTGATCGTGTAAGGTACATGTAAGATGGGGATAGCTGGACCAAATGGGATAGAAAGTAATTTTACACAACAGATGTGTAATAATACAGTAAAGCCTGTCAATAAAGAGCACCTGTCTAAAACAAACTTTAATGACCACACGTCTATACAGTATAACCAATGGTCTATACAGATCACATATCATGACAACCTGTCCATAAGGACCACCTCTGTGTAGAGACCACCTGTTGATAAAGACCATCTGTTATAAACACAGCAAGCCTAGGCCTAAGGACCACCTGCCAAGAAAGATCACTTTTTATTTAAATACTAGATGTAAAGACCACCTTCCATAAATCTCTTTCTATAAAGCTAGCTCAGATCTATAAATAGCATCTGTATTTAAAACCTCCTGATTTTAGCTATTTTCCTCTCAGGTTATACCAACAGTTGGTTATTTTTGTAAAGCCAAAATCTGTTTATGGAAAGTACTTCAATTTTCATTTTCTCACTTAGGTAGTCTTTATGACAGGTTTCACTGAAAATGGTTTAAAATTGCATGTTTGTGTTCAAAATATCCTGTTTGATAATGATAATCAAAACATAGACTTGTCATGTTAGTGCATTTTGATAAATATCTATATATCTATATACCCATTTTAGAATTGTGATATTGGTGCATTGTGATAAATACCCTTTTGTGTTCCCCTTCCTCTATTCAAGGAGTACAGAGTTAAAACAGCTCCCAAGGAGTGATTTATCTGTCCTAATATTGATCCTATCATTCTATTACAGGGTTAAAAATTTGAGGTAGAACAGCTCCCCAGCAGTGACTTGCTTGTCCTGATATTAAATCAGTGTCCTGTGCTTTGGGGGTTAGATTTTAGGTAGAACAGCTCCCCAGCAGTGACTTGCTTGTCCTAATATCAAATCTGTGTCCTGTACTTTGGGGTTAGATTTTAGGTAGAACAGCTCTCCTTCAGTGACTTGCTTGTCCTAATATTAAATCAGTGTCCTGTACTTTGGGGGTTAGATTTTAGGTAGAACAGCTCTCCTTCAGTGACTTGCTTGTCCTAATATTAAATCTGTGTCCTGTACTTTGGGGTTTAGATTTTAGGTAGAACAGCTCTCCTGCAGTGACTTGCTTGTCCTAATATCAAATCTGTGTCCTGTACTTTGCGGTTAGATTTTACGTAGAACAGCTCCCCTGCAGTAACCTGCTTGTCCTAATATTAAATCTGTGTCCTGTGTTTTGGGGGTTAGATTTTAGGTAGAACAGCTCCCCTGAAGTGATTTGCTTGTCCTGATATTGAATCTGTGTACTGTGCTTCGTGGTAGATTTTAGGTAGAACAGCTCCCCTGCAGTGATTTATTTGTCCTGATATTACTGTCCCGTGGGGTTAAGAGTTGAGTTAGAAGTTAGAACCCACCAGTGATTTATCCATGTACCCAGTACATTGTATAGTGTACATAGTCCCAATGTTTACTGTACAGGGAAATGATCACTGGTTGAAAATGTTCTGATTTTGACTGTTTAAACTGATCACATTGGGGACATTTTCGTGTTGAGAATAGTTCTGAAATCTGTTTACTCTATATATATGTATCTATAATCTATATTATCTGTTAATAAGCACTAATTCAACCCACATGAAAAATGTGAGCATTTCCAAATTGCAAAAAAATCCTCTAAGTGACTTTTACAGTATTCTTTTCAGATGCAAAATTTTGTGCTGCCATATATTAAATTCAGTTAATGAACTTAAATTTAACATAAAACTAAAAGGTCGCTTCCTTTAGTCTTTTAACGCTAGCTAGCAAGGTAAGAGAAACTAAAAAACGTTGGTCTGATTTTATAATACTCATTCCTATGGTTGTACTGATAACCTGTTATTTTATAGCTTGGTTTTTGCTTGAAACCTGTTCTAGCTAGAATGACTTAGATTCCTGTCACCTATATGCTATTCACTAGATTATATGCTAGAACTTCTGTTTTCTTGTGGTCCTTATCAGCACCTTGTCTACTGCCTGTGGAACATGTACATATCTTGCATTGTGACTTACCCACTCTGATAGTAATCCTCTCAATGTATTTCAGGATTCAGGAACAGCTCCCGACCAGTGATTTATCTGTTCTTATAGTGTCCCCTCTCCTGTATTCCAGGGTTATGGAGTTGAGGAAGAACAGCTCCCCATCAGTGTTTTACCTGTCCTAATAGTGTCCCCTCTCCTGTATTCCAGGGTTATGGAGTTGAGGTAGAACAGCTCCCCACCAGTGATTTACCAGTCCTTATTGTGTTCCCTTTACTGTATTCCAGGGTTATTGAGTTGAGATAGAACAGCTCCCAACCAGTGATTTACATGTCCTAATTGTGTCCCCTTTCCTATATTCCAGGGTTATTGAGTTGAGGTAGAACAGCTCCCCACCATTGATTTACCAGTCCAAATAGTATTCCCTCTCCTGTATTCTAGGGTTATGGAGTTGAGGAAGAACAGCTCCCAACCAGTGATTTATCTGTCCTTAAAGTGTCCCCTCTCCTGTATTCTAGGGTTATGGAGTTAAGGTAAAACAGCTCCCCACCAGTGATTTACCTGTTCTAATAGTGTTCCCTCTCCTGTATTCCAGGGGGATGGAGTTGAGATAGAACAGCTCCCCACCAGTGATTTACCTCTCCTAATAGTGTCCCCTCTTCTGTATTCCAGGGTTATGGAGTTGAGGAAGAACAGCTCCCAACCCGTGATTTATCTGTCCTTAAAGTGGCCCCGCTCCTGTATTCCAGGGTTATGGAGTTGAGATCTATAGAACAGCTCCCCACCAGTGATTTACTGGCTTAATAGTGTCCCCTTTCCTATATTCCAGGGTTATGGATTTGAGATAGAACAGCTCCCCACCAGTGATTTACCTGTCCTAATAGTATTCCCTCTCCTGTATTCCACTACACGCATGCATCTTGCACACAGGGGAGGCCGTCCTTAAATGACCTTAGCTGTTAATAGGACGTTAAACAAAATCAAACAAACAAACAAACAAATCCAGGGTTATGGAGTTGAGGAAGAACAGCTCCCAACCCGTGATTTATCTGTCCTTAAAGTGTCCCCTCTCCTGTATTCCAGGGTTATGGAGTTGAGGTAGAACAGCTCCCCACCAGTGATTTACCTGTCCTTATTGTGTTCCCACTCCTATATTCCAGGGTTATGGATTTGAGGTAGAACAGCTTCCCACCAGTGATTTACCTGTCCTAATAGCATTCCCTCTCCTGTTTTCCAGGGTTATGGAGTTGAGGTAGAACAACTCCCTACCAGTGATTAACCTGTCCTAATAGTGTTACCTCCCCTGTATTCCAGGGTTATGGAGTTAAAGTAGAACAGCCCCACCAGTGATTAACCTGTCCTAATAGTGTTCCCTCTCCTGTATTCCAGGGTTATGGAGTTAAAGTAGAACAGCTCCCCACCATTGATTTACCTGTCCTAATAGTGTTCCCTCTCCTGTATTCCAGGGTTATGGAGTTGAGGTAGAACAGCTCCCCACCAGTGATTTACCTGTCCTTATAGTATCCCCTCTCCTGTATTCCAGGGTTATGGAGTTGAGGTAGAACAGCTCCCCACCAGTGATTTACCTGTCCTAATAGTGTTCCCTCTCCTGTATTCCAGGGTTATGGAGTTGAGGTAGAACAACTCCCCACCAGCGATTTACTATCAGCAGTGGATAAATATGTAACAGAAAAAGGCTACACTTTCCTGCATTCGTTTGACGAATCCAACCTCATTGCTGGTTATGGAAGGTATTGACCACTGACCACTAATTATGACACTGGATCAAAGTTGACATTGCATGTTAAGAACCGCCAACAAATGTTAAAAAATATCCTGAAGCCACACACGGTGTGGAGTCCAGCAAGCTCATTATTTACCATATTGTTTTGTTCTCTACAGAATCAGCAGTCCTCGGCCAGCAATCACTTGAATCTTGTTTCAGTTATTGCACAGAGGCATTTAAACAGATAAATATAGCTCCCCAACTCTATTTTCTGTGTAGAACATTTTTTGATTTTTAAAAATGGCTCATGGTTCTAAACATGGAATATTAGATTTGATACAACAGTAATAATTGCTGGGTGCTTTTAATGTTTACCTTTTCTGTCAATGTGTATTTGTCACTGGAAAGGGCTGAAGGTTTGTTTAAACTTTAATATCTAACAAAGTAATGATTAAGGTAATGAAAGGGGAAAAAAAATCAATTTAGTTATTCACCAAGACATCGGGAATATAAGTCAGAAATGGCACTTGTTTTTCAATATACTTCTAACCATGTCTTGTTTCGTTTTATTTCACTTTAACATCTAAGAAGTGAAGAACAAGAACTACCCGTTAAATCCTTTTTTGAAACCATAAGTTCTTACTAAGTGATTAATGGATTGTCAGGAAAGCTGATGGAATGTATCCTAAAATCTGGATACTAAATGTCAAAGGTCAAGGTTACTTTGTTAACATGTTCAGCATCTATTCAAATGAATGGCTGTGAAACATCCTACAGGTATCAGCAGTTATATCAAATAAAAATTACTTTTTACATTTACATGAATGATAAACATCTAAACTGCTGAGGTTGAGGGTCAAAGGTCAAGATTACAAGGCCATTTGGTGAAAGTTTTATGAAAATACTGGTACAGTGTAGTATTAAATACATTTTTGTCCAGTGTTGTTCTTTTCCATTTGTTTGTCACCTACAGATAGCTTTTTACATTTGACCATAATGTAATCAGGGAATTCAGCCAAATTGTGAATGTGTCTCACTAATGGCAATGACTAGATTAAGTTCATAGAGAAGCAGAATCTGCACATATTTAAAGTATCTGCAGTTACAGTGTATATCAAATAAAAAATACTTTTTACATTTACATGAATGATAAACATCTCGATTGTTGAAGTTGAGGGTCAAAGATCAAGATAAGAAGGTCATTTGGTGAAAGATTTTATGAAAATACTGGTACAGTGCATTGTTAAATACATTTTTGTCCAGACAAGGTATCATGTGACCTATTGCGATCTCCATTTGTCTGTCGTTGTGTGTCATCCATCCTTTAACAATTCTCATATTTGGCTTCTCTAAAACTGCTTCACGGATTGCAATAAAGTTTTGCAGAAAGCATTCATGGTAAAAGGCAAAGGCAAACAAATCTATGCATACTATTGTTATCCTCCCTTCCACCTCCCCTCCCACCAGGGATCAGAGGGTTGGACCCAAAGTGGGGAAAAGTCTTCTAACACTTAAAGGCCAGAGTACCAGGCAAAATAGAATACTTTTCAATGATGGAAAAGTCTGATGGTACCGTATAAACATTGTGCGTTTCATTACCCAGGGTATCCATTCACCCTTTATGATAGCCAAATCTGATTGTATTTTATAATTTAACACAAAAGAATATAATTTAAAACTACCGGGTAGTAAGGAATTATTTTCACAGCATAGCAGTTTGATAGCATGCAAATTAAAACCCTATTTTTAAAACAAGCATGGAAATGAGGGACATTGCTTAAATTGGAAAAATTGGCTAAAATTACAAAATTCTGCTACTATAGTATATATAAGAAAAATCCTATGTATACGAATGCCCTGCGAAAAAGTGGAGTGGGGCATATAATGTACCTCTTGTCTGCCCCTATGTCCATTTGGTTAAGCTAACGGTCATGTAACCTCACAAGCTTATGTGCCTCTATAAGAACAGTGTGTCACATTATATATTTGCAGATCTTGACCCTTCACCTTGACCTCTGTGACCTTGATATTAGTAATGTTTTTTGCATATAGTCAGTTATCGTTATATTCACACAACATAGGAAGCTTATGTGCTGTATTGAGTACACATGTTTGCGACATTTTTTTGTAACCTTGACCTTTGACCTTTCCCGCTGTTTACAGCTAACATTGCAGGAGTTTACAACAATCTACATATATGAATACATTTCTAGTTATACCTGACAATTTTCTCATCACATCTCAATAAAAAACGAAATATCACAACTCAGGTGACTGTTCATGCGTTAGGGCCTCTTGTGTTGAGGGTATATCTCATACAAAAACAATTTCTATGAATATTTATGAAATTCAGCTGAACTTTCGTGTGCATGTATGTTGACATAAAAAGACTAACTTTACAGGTAAACATTCATACGTAACTAGGTTCAGGAACTTCCTAAGTTCTAATTGATTTTCCCTTTTCAGCGATATCTATTACTTCATGTTCATATTTTAACAACAAACTATTATTTCATGTTCATATTTTAACAATTTGTTGTATTTTTATAAATGTATAAGCCGAGAAAAACTTTGAAGGTATACTGAAATTATGAATTTATCAATGAGGTTCTACAGAACAAACACACCAAAGGGTCCAGATTAATGAGGTTCCACTGTACACACAAACAAAAGTGTCCAGACTAATGAGGTCCCTCTGTACACGTAAACCAAAGTGTCCAGACTTATGAGGTCCCTCTGTACACGTAAACCAAAGTGTCCAGACTTATGAGGTCCCTCTGTACACATAAACCAAAGTGTCCTGTCTTATGAGGTCCCAACTGTACACGTAAACCAAAGTGTCCAGACTTATGAGGTCCCTCTGTACACGTAAACCAAAGTTTCCTGCCTTATGAGGTCCCGACTGTACACGTAAACCAAAGTGTCCAGACTTATGAGGTCCTTCTGTACACGTAAACCAAAGTGTCC